TAGTACTTACTATACGTACATGCGGTAGTACTATAGGTACTTGCGGTTGGTAGTCGGGTAAATCGTACCAGTACAATTTAACCAACTGCAAGTGGTACGATTAAACCAACTAAGGCATTTCTAAAACAAAAGCAAATATCCGGCATAAACTCAAAACTTAGACACGCAACAAAAACCCCCTATAATCTAGTATACGATTGTGGAATAATAAAAAAAAATTAATAACTATAGCTTACCTTGACTAGGAGTTATCTCCTTACGAATGTACGACAATATTTATATTAATTCCTACAAAAAATGTTTTTTTTTTATTACGTGCACAGTTGTTAACTCACGTCGATTTAAACTAGTGGGTGAAGAGGTATCGTCCAGGGCCACGATTTGGCGTTGTCAATGTAAAAAAAAATATACATTAAATGGGAAATTTAGAAGTGGTACGATTTAAATGCTAGTACGATATAACCAACACTCCCCTATATGTAGTAATATTATTTTTTGTGAATTTGTAAATAAAAATCTATATTTTAAAGCTACATAAGTGAATCATTAAGGTTATAGTTTCTATATACATACGAGTATGTAATAATATATGTATATATATAACTATGAATTGTATAAAAACAGGACTATACAACGAGATGTTCATTTGCATTTACGTTTTGTTTTGCTCGAAACAGGCTTTCGTTGCGAGTTGGGTGCGACGACCTTAGAATTTTGGTACCAACACGTTTTTTGGTCATGAGTTTCGTTATCCGATCCCAAAATTGAAATTACCGGTCCGATCTTAATTATTTTTTGATAAAATCCATCCTAAATAAATTTTCTATTGGCAAACAAACTTCTATTTGATCGTACATTGTGTTGTTGTGATCATCTCCGTGGATGAATGACATAAGTCGATTATATAGCGTTCCACTCGCTGAATTCGGAATTTTTTTAATTAAAAAAAGACTTGTTTGAGGTAATTCATATTCTAAAACAATCTAGAACTTCTCATTTTTATACGTATTATGTGGATGTGGAACATTTCAATATGAAATAGGAATAAAGCATTTTTTTAAATCTATAGTCAATAGTCACATACAAATATATATATATATATTATATATACATATAATACTATTTGTAATTTAAAAATTTACTTTTATTTAAAAGCATATAAAAGTATTTACGTTTTATTATATATTTTATTTATTACGTTTACGAATTACCAATTTCCTTATTTACATCAAAGGACAACTATTGTTTTTTTTGTCTGTCTGTTTGTTACGGCTATTCTATGTAACGGCTGGATTGATTTTAACCAGACTTTCACTGACAAGTAGATAATGTCACAAGGAGTAACATAGATTGCTTTTTGACCGACTTCATGAACGGGAAGTCCTTGATTGATACACTTATATTACCTCATATAATATTAAGTTTATGTATAAAATCAAATGAAAAATAGTAAATAAATAACAATTATAACTTATTAATTTATAGTAGAAAATAATACATAATTGCTTATAATTAAGACATTCAACGAGGAAGACGCTGTTGAAGTAATTACGGAGGTAGTTTAAAAAAAATATTATATTACTTTATAAAAATTATATTTTATGATGTTATACTTAATTTATATAAAATAATATGAATTTTCTATTAAATAAATTGTAATTTTATCTTTTTATTATGAGATTAATTTATATTGAGAAGTCAGTCTTTTGTTTTAAATGTAATTTTTTTATTAACTTCTGCAATGTGTATATGTAGAAGATGAGCTATGTTTTTTTTTTTTTTTTTTTTTTTTTTTTTTTTTGTTATCGCGGTGAAAGGTTTTATACCTACCCCTCCGTCTAGGGGAGACAGAGGCGGTTATGTGGGATTCACGGCCAGAAGGGCCCATGTTACCCACTAAAACACCAGCGGTCACTCTCCGTTGCCGCCAAGTGGATCGCCACGGGAAACGCCGAAGCATGCATCCGCGACGATCCGGCGGCGGGCCGCGAACGGCCACCTCCCCCCCCGAGGGCTCACTCCAAGTGACCAGGAGTGTCCCCCCGCCTGGCGGGCTTGCTTAATCGCGAGAGGGTTAACCCCTTACCCCTCCCACCCAAGCCCACGCGGCCAGTCTCCAACCACCCACCGACGAGCGCAAGCGCCCGACGGCAGACAGAGAGGAAACCGACCGACCACAAGCGAACTCAGGCCTCCGGAGAGACCCGAGTATCCCCTCCCCCCCAAGACAGCCACGGACGGCCTCCTGCCAGATCCGTGACCGTCTTACTCCCAGGGCTGTACCCCCAGCCCTCCCCCCCGTGACTGATTGCACCGGAATACACCAGTGGGCGATGGGGTCGTCACGTCCCGACGCCGGAAAGATGAGCTATGTTTGTATGTACCTAAAGTGGTATCAGCTTTAGAATACAAGATGTCTAAAAATATATAAATAAGAAATCAAAATGTGAGTTTGTTTCATACCATCTCATTTGTCACATATTGTCTCAAATGTTAATTGAACTATTTTTATTACATTTCTAAATCCTTTTTTATGTCTTCAGATATAAATTATCTTACTAGTCAAATATATAAATGTATATAAAAAATAAAAAAAATATTCTTATCTGAATTAATTTAGTATACTTCTATAACGAACGTTTTAACCTTAATTTTTTTCGAATAACTATTAGACGAAACCTCTCATCATTCCATGTATTCACGGTGCGTGTGTCGGGTCCATCGTTGTAGTGAGAGGAGCTTCAACAGTGACTGGGACTTGTGACCCAGGTGTAGGTTTAATATATATAGAGAGACGAAACCTCTCATCATTCCATGTATTCACGGTGCGTGTGTCGGGTCCATCGTTGTAGTGAGAGGAGCTTCAACAGTGACTGGGACTTGTGACCCAGGTGTAGGTTTAATATATATAGAGAGACGAAACCTCTCATCATTCCATGTATTCACGGTGCGTGTGTCGGGTCCATCGTTGTAGTGAGAGGAGCTTCAACAGTGACTGGGACTTGTGACCCAGGTGTAGGTTTAATATATATAGAGAGACGAAACCTCTCATCATTCCATGTATTCACGGTGCGTGTGTCGGGTCCATCGTTGTAGTGAGAGGAGCTTCAACAGTGACTGCGACTTGTGACCCAGGTGTAGGTTTAATATATATAGAGAGACGAAACCTCTCATCATTCCATGTATTCACGGTGCGTGTGTCGGGTCCATCGTTGTAGTGAGAGGAGCTTCAACAGTGACTGGGACTTGTGACCCAGGTGTAGGTTTAATATATATAGAGAGACGAAACCTCTCATCATTCCATGTATTCACGGTGCGTGTGTCGGGTCCATCGTTGTAGTGAGAGGAGCTTCAACAGTGACTGGGACTTGTGACCCAGGTGTAGGTTTAATATATATAGAGAGACGAAACCTCTCATCATTCCATGTATTCACGGTGCGTGTGTCGGGTCCATCGTTGTAGTGAGAGGAGCTTCAACAGTGACTGGGACTTGTGACCCAGGTGTAGGTTTAATATATATAGAGAGACGAAACCTCTCATCATTCCATGTATTCACGGTGCGTGTGTCGGGTCCATCGTTGTAGTGAGAGGAGCTTCAACAGTGACTGGGACTTGTGACCCAGGTGTAGGTTTAATATATATAGAGAGACGAAACCTCTCATCATTCCATGTATTCACGGTGCGTGTGTCGGGTCCATCGTTGTAGTGAGAGGAGCTTCAACAGTGACTGGGACTTGTGACCCAGGTGTAGGTTTAATATATATAGAGAGACGAAACCTCTCATCATTCCATGTATTCACGGTGCGTGTGTCGGGTCCATCGTTGTAGTGAGAGGAGCTTCAACAGTGACTGGGACTTGTGACCCAGGTGTAGGTTTAATATATATAGAGAGACGAAACCTCTCATCATTCCATGTATTCACGGTGCGTGTGTCGGGTCCATCGTTGTAGTGAGAGGAGCTTCAACAGTGACTGGGACTTGCGACCCAGGTGTAGGTTTAAGGGACCCTTATCTAACGCGCGTTAAATGCTTACGTCCACCGTCCAAGCTCCTTTCTTTACAAAATCAAATTTAACTTTATTATTTCTTTCAAGACGTAAAGAACTTTAATTTTAAGCTATGTACGTATAAAGGTTTGTCTAAATTAGAAAATAATTTAAAATCCTTTTCATTTTCCATTTACTTTTCTTTAGTATATAGGCTGTCATCAGTAATACAGCCTTTTTACAGAGAAATTATAGGTGAACTTTTAAACTAGTACATATTTCTATATAAGAAAATTTTTTGTCGATAACACAACATCCATAGTTGAGACTGCCTGTCTTTACTTATTTTATATACAATGTATTTATAAATAAATAATAAATACATATGTTCTTCACTTAAAAAGAAATAATACGATTTTAGTTAAAAGTAACACTATACTTAAAAAGAATAATATTTAATATGTTGTTTTACAACATTGCTATGTTATAAACTACAGATGTCTTCAACGAATTTCGTGTCTACCAAGAATACTGTCTTGCAATTACATCTGATGAGAAAAATTACTTAATTTAGAGTACAACAAAAGAAAGAACGATTGAAAAGAATTTGAAGAACAATATAAATTATTAATTACTTAATGAGATCTAAGATTTTCGCATAAATTCATTCTCGTCTGTCCGTGATCTCGGTTGCTGTAAAGTAACAGAAACGTCGGGAAAATCGCGTAGTAAATCCGAAAAATATAAGTTTAATTTATAAATTACTATCAGACTGAAAATTATTACTATTACAGTGATTTTGTTGTGAGAAAATCTCATCGGTTCGAATAAGCCAATTAAATAATAAATATTACATAATTAAGTAATGACGTAATTAGTATATAAGGAATGTAAATAAATAATTTAAAATACATTGAAGCTAATTTTATTACTTTGTTTTGAACATTAACTTATGCACGCTTTTATTATACTGGCTATATACTTACGGTCTACAGAGAGGTAATCTGTACAGGTATGCCTGTGCAGGTCAACCTAACAATGGTAGGGATCAAAAAACTGCACAGGTCTATTCCCATACACATTCCGGTCCACCAGCGTAGTTAGACCTTTCCGGTAGACTGCAGCGTGTATGGCCGGCATAAGATAAATTGGCTTCTTTGAGAGATGGTTATAGCTCAATTGCTTAGAAGCATCGGCATTAATAGTTCAGGTTGTGGGTTCAAAACTAAGACGCTGTCAATTTTTTTATTCATCACTGAATTAGACATTACTTTTTTCGTATTACAATATGTTTTCCTATTTTAATTCAAGCTAAAATTGTACCTACTTTTACGTTAGATTTTCAGTGACTTAATACATAGCTATTGGTCCATCTGCGTAATGATAGGGATTTTTGTTGCGACACCAAAGTCAAGATCGGGTGTATTAGCTCAAGAACTTGACTAATCCGGCTATGCTCCGAGGGAGTAAGTCCGGTCTTTGCCAGGACCGGCCAGTCGCTGGTGTGCCCTGTCGCTGACAGATCCGGGGTACACCGACATAGCGGTCGATGGCTTTCGCAGTGGTTTTAGTGAGTAGGGGCCTGCCCAGGCCGAGCCTCACACATCCCTTCCGGCCCCACCAAGGCCGGTTGGACGGCTCGTAAAAAGAGTTTCCCCTGCGTCATCAAAAAAAGAACATGACTAATCTTAGCTGAGTGTGATGCATTTCTGTCATATTATTCTATATAATATATCATTAGAAAGAACTATCATTATCGTATCATTATGGAGTAATGATATTATCAGTGTATTATCACCACACTCATTAATGATTAACAAGGAGATATATTTCAAAGTTACGAAATATGATCAAGAATTTAATTAAACATCCAAAAAAGTTATTTTATTTAATAACTTTGTAATGTTTTTATGAATAATCATACATGAAGATTAATAAAAAGGGTTTTTAATCGAGACTCCAGTTTTCTTATATACAAAATTGTATATATTTTCAGTAATAAAAATTCTTTAGTCATACAAAATACAATACAATCATATGCTTTGTCGGTTAAATACTTAACTAAAAAAGATAATGTCAAAAGTTATACGTACTTATTGAGAGTGTATTCATTTTAAATTTTATTTACACTATAATTGCCAGATACATTAAATTTACCATTATTCTAGGTAATTGTGAAAAATAATACTATTTTTGACAATTATTAAACACTTGTATGTATATGTTTAATTTTTAATATTTATTGAATATTTTTATTCATAACTGTATAATTATTTTCAAAATATTTGAATATTAAAAGTCATGGGAAAAAAAATATTAATTCAATTGAAATTAACTAATAAATATTAGTCCTATCTATCATGTTTATAATATAATATAAAATTTTCTATATAACAACAAATAGTAAACAAATAATTTTAGTCAATAACTTCTCATAAAATTAAAATACATACAATTAAAATGATACTCAAATTTATTCAAAGTCAGTTATTTAGTTTAAATCACTATCTTTATTTATAATACAAAATAATATATTATTCTATAATAATACTTTTTGATATATTTGTATTAAAATAAATTTATATAATGGTCACAAATGAAATAATTAATGAAAATTTACGTATCTATAGATTATACATGCAGACTTACATTTAAAAGTACTTCATTTATTAATATTCAAAGTAAATAAATAAATTATATATCAGTTACTTTTTTTAATATATACACATATACCTTTTATTTATTTGTCTTCAAGGTAAACACATGTTAATTAATTTTAACATACATAAATAATGAACATATACTTGATTTATATTTAATATATTATATAAAGTACATATACAATATATATAATAATATTATATTATAATATAATTTTAATACACATTGAGTACGTATAGCAACACTGAGTTTCAACTAATCATGTACCCTCACAAAACAATCAGTCGCCCGAATATTAATGTCGGGTGAAGTTAGTTTTTAATATAAATATAATATTAATATAAATATAGTAAATATGGAAGATATATTCAAAAGTAATAATATATTTTATAACGTTTTATGTTTTTTAATAACTAAAAATGAGAAGTTATTCGATGATTGTGATTCGATTCTATATTGGAGGACGGTTTTCCATACTTTTGGGCTGCTACATCATATATATGTGGGATTATTCGCAGCATCCCTCGGGATACATCTTCATCCCAATCCTGATGTCAAGATATTATATACATTACGAGGCGCTTATCTAACTGGATGGAATTTTGTGAGTTACTATAATGAGATATAAGATTTTTAAGTACTCATTTAAATTAAACTAATATTTTCGGATTTATTATGCGATTTTTTTATTATTATAAACTACACGAGTGTCACATCTCGTCTTAATGATCACGGTTGCTGTAAATTAGTAGTCGGGAGTATGTAGTTTTTATCAAAAATAAATCCGAAAACATTAGTTTCATCTAAATCACTGAATATTCTGAAGGATTATAATCAAATTTTGAATTTTTTTAATGATAATATTCTTTGTTTTTAACTAAATATCTATATTCTTTAAATGTTTGCGTCTAAATGAAATATTGTCTATATTCAAAACAATCATTAGTCTTATTATAAGTTGTCATCGTCACTATATACGCAGCGTAAACAGTTTTTGATTTATAATTTTTAACATAGTTGTATTTATTCCCAAAGAGGATTGATGTCAGGCGGTCGGTTGTAAAAACAATTAGCCAAAACTATTCACATGTAAGGCAGACCCTGGCTAAATCTGGAAAATTGCCAGGTAGAAGAAGAATAGATGTAACGTAGGTAGAAATATACGTTCATGAGTAATGTGATCGCAAAACTAGTACTAAGAGTATATAAAATTAAATATAATTGTTTATGCATGTTATTCATTAAGCTAACAATTTAAATAAATTGACAAAAGAATGTTGGAATTCATTCACATATACTTATGTTTCATTTGTTACTAATGTAAATGAGATTTTAAATAATTAAATATCTATATATATAAATGAATTCCTTCTTCCATTGGCCACATCATGGCTTGACCGATTTCACTAATACTTAATTGGTTGTATTTCTTATTATTAGGAGAAGGTTCTTATTTAAGAGAAAATACGAAAATTTCTATAAAAAAAAACTACAATATTTCACTTTTTATAAAATAATCTGTTACTCAGCTAAATTAAATAAAGAAATTAACTACATTTAGATAAAAAGGTAACAGATATTTCTTGATTATAGGGCGATACGAAGTTCGACGGGTCAGCTAGCATTAATATATACATATATACTTATATGTAAAAGTTTTTCTTATATACTCATTATTCTATAATAAATAATTAATTATAATACTTTTAAATGTCCGAGCTATAAACTACGAATCTTTCAAACGGAAATCGGACCCTTTGTCCCAAAAAACCTATCGAGGGTGTCGAAATATCCTTATCAGTTGTTATCACGTGACTCAAACGTGATGCACTTTGTATACTGATAAGTACTAGTTCCGTTACTAGCACTCGCCTAGCGTTATCATACGACTCTGTCTGTTATATTTATTTAATTATTATTGTTTATATAAAGGCAAGTACAAATGTGATTTTTCGAAGTCATATGTACTTTCTGAGAGTATTTAGACATCACTGACGTATTGTGAAGGAAAACATCGTGAGGAAACCTGGACTTATAGTTTCACAATTATAAGTTTGAAATCACCAACCCGTTTTGAGCAAGCGTGGTGATTAATGCTCAAACCTTTTATATGTGAGAAAGAGGCCTTTGCTCAGCCGTGGGCTCTGATAGGATGATGACATGATATGACGTGACATATATAAAATGCATAACATTAAAGTATCTTAATTTGGTATACATGTATGAGTGTCTAAATAATCTTCTTCCTGGCAATTTCCCAGCTTTAGCCAGGGTCTGCCTTATATGATGTAAATAGTTTTGGCTATTTTTTTACGACCGGCCGCCTGCCTGACATCAACCCTCTTTGGGAATGCATTAATCAGTGATGTCTAAATACTCTTAGAAAGTACATATGACTCGGAAGAATCACATTGGTACTTGCCAGGATCGAACCCGCGCTCGTGCATGAGAGGTGGGCCTTTTAACCACTAGGCCACCACTGACTTATTTTAAATAATATATTGTTTTAATCATGAAAGTGTTACCAGTTTCTTACTTTTTGAGTAAAATGTACTATTTATGCATGTGTATAACGATCACATATTTAATAAAATTTATGATAATTACTGAATATAATAGAGAAATTTATATATAACAGTATAAGTAACAGAAACAATGTGTTTAATATCTTCTAAATCAGACACAATTATAAACTCAATGTCTCCCTAAAATACAATATAATTGAACATAAACTAATTACATTGAAATAAAATTATATCTTTACATTCTCAAATAGATAAATACAATAGGAAAATGAGTTTTTGTTCCAACCGACTTTTATAAATTAGTATTTTTTTAAATTAAACAAGGAAATTATTTACGACATTATTATTATATATAGAGAATTATAAATTTAAATAGAATATATCTAGTGTCTTGTTAACTATCAGTTGTCATTATTGTCAGCTGGTTCTTTTGAACGCATTAAGTTAAATTCATCCATTTTGTACCTAGTTTTTTATCAGCTTCATCCAAAATATTGATTTATCAGCTGTTGATAACAAAAAATGTATACTTATCTTTACCCATGACTTATAGGCAGTCACGGTCAAGTTAGACTGTTTTTTCGATAATATTGTTAAAATAAGTAAAGATTATAACATAAAACTATGTTTTTTCTAATATATTAAACGATTTTATTATTATACTTTATATAACTCTGTTTGAACGAGTTAAAAACAAATAATTTCTGATGAAATTTATCATCGAAAAGTATTTTATATCTAGCCAGTTAATTATAAAGAAAAGAGTAAAACTTTTACGATATAATAGTCGTAAATGAAGAGTAAATTTGATCATATTTGTCTTTCAATGTATTTTTAGGGAATAATTTTAAAATTTTCTCAATTAACTTCTATATGCATGATATTGTCAGATTTATTGGTTAAATCTTAATATAAATTATAATGTGTTTTTTTATGAATCGTGAATTTGTGTTACGAGCATAGTTAAGACAATAATGATATAGAAAATATCCTATAATGACGAGATAAATAGACAAATGAACCACCAAATTTAAACTATAGAAAGCTTGGTATAAGTTTTACAAAGGAATAATAACTGTACGAATTTAATAAATGTTATAGTCACATTACAGGTTAATTTCTTGAGTAGTACTATTCAGTTAACGAAAATTACTTAAAAATTAAAATACAACCTTGTTATGAATGTAATAATTTTTTTTTGTATGCTTTTTATTAAAAGACGTAAAAAAAACTACTCTAAATTTGATGAAATTTTGTATTTTGATGCTTGAAATTTAAGAGGATAAGAGGATTTGTATGAAGAACTTTTAAACTTCATTGTACCATATATTGAACAAGATATATACGGGTGTTGGAATAAAGCAGGTTATTTGAGACACACATACGTACGTACTTTCTAAGAGTATTTAGACATCACTGATTAATGCATTCCCAAAGAGGGTTGATGTCAGTCAGGCGGCCGATCGTAAAAACAATTAGCCAAAACTATTCACAACATATAAGGCAGACCCTGGCTAAAGCTTGAAAATTGTCTGGTAGACGAAGATAAATTATTTGTATTGCGCAGTTAAATGAACACAGACATATACTCCAATACATTTATATGTAAAGAATTCCATACGTCTCAGACATTTAGATAGCACAGGTCAAAGGTCAACCGTCTGCTGCTGACAAATGCTTGATCATATTATGTATTGTATATATTAATATCAAACACTAATTATACATTATCATTACAATTAATTAGTCCAAAAACCAATGAACTGTTCACTAGTTATACGACTGATTCGTATGTGAAGGTAATAAGAACAGTTTGTATAAAGATAAACATTAAGTTTTAAAATAAATTAATTTATTTAGATGTTGTTTCTGATATAATCAGGTTGAGTTATATATAATAAGACGAAACTGGTCATCATTCCATGTATTCACGGTGCGTGTGTCGGGTCCATCGTTGTAGTGAGAGGAGCTTCAACAGTGACTGGGACTTGTGACCCAGGTGTAGGTTTAATATATATAGAGAGACGAAACCTCTCATCATTCAATGTATTCACGGTGCGTGTGTCGGGTCCATCGTTGTAGTGAGAGGAGCTTCAACAGTGACTGGGACTTGTGACCCAGGTGTAGGTTTAATATATATAGAGAGACGAAACCTCTCATCATTCCATGTATTCACGGTGCGTGTGTCGGGTCCATCGTTGTAGTGAGAGGAGCTTCAACAGTGACTGGGACTTGTGACCCAGGTGTAGGTTTAATATATATAGAGAGACGAAACCTCTCATCATTCAATGTATTCACGGTGCGTGTGTCGGGTCCATCGTTGTAGTGAGAGGAGCTTCAACAGTGACTGGGACTTGTGACCCAGGTGTAGGTTTAATATATATAGAGAGACGAAACCTCTCATCATTCAATGTATTCACGGTGCGTGTGTCGGGTCCATCGTTGTAGTGAGAGGAGCTTCAACAGTGACTGGGACTTGTGACCCAGGTGTAGGTTTAATATATATAGAGAGACGAAACCTCTCATCATTCAATGTATTCACGGTGCGTGTGTCGGGTCCATCGTTGTAGTGAGAGGAGCTTCAACAGTGACTGGGACTTGTGACCCAGGTGTAGGTTTAATATATATAGAGAGACGAAACCTCTCATCATTCAATGTATTCACGGTGCGTGTGTCGGGTCCATCGTTGTAGTGAGAGGAGCTTCAACAGTGACTGGGACTTGTGACCCAGGTGTAGGTTTAAGGGTCCCCTATCTAACGCGTTATACGCTCACCTCCACCGTATAAGCTCCTCTCTCTACCTAACCAAATTTGATAAACTAATTTATGTTATATGGCGATAAAGTAACACTTTACAGCTGAGATTTTTGCTTTTTGTTTGAGATGTTTTTTTTTGATTACGATTTCTGTAAAGGAACCAAGTTAAAAAACAACTATAACGCGCAGTACCCGGAAACCTTAGTTTTATATAAAAATGGAGTGTTTTTTGAAAATATCGTGGTTTAATTATAATTTATTTATTCTTCATAACAGTTTAAAGGAAACAAACATTACTATAGTAGCGATTTTATGATTTCAATGAATAAAAATGTCACATTTGCCATCAAAAACAGCGAACAAATATCTCATAGATTTACGACTGTTATGTAAGAAGTCTCAAAAAACCAAAGAATTTTTTGTAATGGAAGCAGAAATATCTAATTAAATATCATGTACCAATTTGTGCAGATAGAATTTCAGACGTGATTTTTAATGTTCAGCGTTACTTCAAAATGGCTGAAACCAGTATTTATAGTTTTCAAATACGAGGTGATACTTAGATGTTGCATACACAATTACAATGGTTCAGACATCAAAATAATTTCAAGGATTATAGCAAACTAGTTTTTGCCCGCGATTTCGTGAGCGTTTGTTTCAGAATTAGAAATGTATAGCTGACTGAGCGAACTCTATTCCTCCTTAAACACAGTAGATAAAGAGATTTCGGATTTGAACTTATTTATTTTTCATTTTCAATCTGATGAAAAGTATCCTATGTCCGTCTCCTTGTTCTAATCTATCTCTCCACAAATTTTCATCAACCCGTACAGTCGTTCTTGAGTTATAAATAGTGTAACTAACACAACTTTCATTTATAAAAAACTATACTTAATTCAATCAAAATAAATTTCCAGGTGTTCCAGACTTTATTCCTGGGTCTGTCTGTATTCTATGACGTGTCAGAATGGATGGACAAGAACGAGAGTACACTTGCAAGTCGCGTCAAATACTGGAGGGACGTGGTCTTCAAAGGAATGGTCGTCCCTTTCACTATGGTGAGTACATCATATGCATACAATAATTAACCCACCTGCTTTCTTTATATATTTGGCAGACCCTGGCTAAAGCTGGGAAATTGCCAGGCAGAAGATATATATAATAAATATAATTCAATGTCCCTTTGTATTCAAACTGACCATGATCCATAATATTTCTGGATATTAATTTATTAAATTAATAAAATTCCAAGGTGCAAATTCTTAAGTAGTGACGTATTTGTAGGGAACCGGTTAATGGGACAATGGGAGCAAAAACTACTATAAAACCTATATTTATGATAAAATTACAATTATTTTCTATCTTTTATTCAGTTTTAATGTTCTTTTGTATGTATGTTTGTAAACTTCTTTTATTATGAATGGTTTTCGATCAACCCTTCTATATTGTGATTATTTGTCAGATGAATCTTGTTTTGACGAAAAACTAAAATATTTTACGATATCAAGACGTATAAAAGATTTATAATTGATTAGAATAAAAGAACAATTGATTTCATTTATCTATATTTATTTTACCTACATTCTGATATCTAAGACTTTCGCGAGTATTCATTTAAATGAAACTAATGTTTTCTGATTACTAAGCTTTATTTATTATTATTAATACATACTCAGTCAGTGGTGGCCTAGTGATTAAAGGACTCGCCTCTCGTTGCCGAGGGCGCGGGTTCGATCCTGGCAAGTAGGTACCAATGTGATTTTTCCGAATCCTATGTACTTTTTAAGAGTATTTAGACATCACTGATTAATGCGTTCCCAAAGAGGTTTGATGTCAGACAGGCTGCCGGTCGTAAAAACAATAAGCCAAAACCCTGGCTAAAGCTGGGAAATTGCCAGGTAGAAGAAGACTCCCGACGTTTCGTTTACTTTGCATAAACCGTGATCACGGCAGATATATTGTCTGCTCTTTATAAATAATAAAATACGTACTAATCCGTAAATATTAGTTTAATTTACCTATATTCTGTTCTGTTGTTATGCCAGTATCTTTTCAGTTCGTGACTTCAATGTTCTGGTGTGTGTACGCCATAGACCGTGAGCTGGTGTTCCCTCAAGTGTACGACGAGGTTGTGCCATGGTGGTTCAATCATTGTGTCCACACTAATATCACTATTGTCATCATTATAGGTAAGAATCTAATTTGATGCTTCTAAGAGTATTTAGACACCACTGACAGATGAAGGAAAACATCGTGAGGAAACATGGACTTATAATCAAATTATAAGTTTGAAGCAAACTGTCTTGAGCAAGCGTGGTGATTAATGCTCAAACCTTCTCCATGTGTGCTGAGGCCTTTTCTCAGCAATGGGCTCTGATAGGATGATGATGATGATGATATATAGATGATGATGATGATAATGTTACCTTTGGTAATTTGTGTTGAAAAGTATAAAATCTTACTTACCTACCTTATAATATATGTTATGTATAAGTATATTAGGAGTATATATATTATATGTTAAGAATCAAGAATGACATAGGGATACAATCAAAATCTTTGGACATTTGAGTATTTATAAAAAATATCTCCAATATTCGAACTGTCTGTCTGTAATAAATACTTTAATTATTGTTCTTCCAGAGCAACTGAAAAGGTAACTGTATAGGTAAAAACCTTTCATAAGACGTACTTTATTTAATTAATGATAAAATTGTTGAGATTATGTTAAAGTTTTTAAAAATACTCCAAATTTTATGCTATTAGTTCCATTTCCAAATAATTACTTATCATATCTGATAATTTTATGAGAAACCTTTTATAAATGGTGTTATAATATTTTTATTATTTTGTTATAGAAACAATACTTCAAGCTAGAAGAAAACCAACTGACAAGAAGCTCGAGCTCATCTTCTACTGGGCGATAGCATTCGCATATGCTATCGTGTAAGCTTATCATATTTATTAAAAATAGCTTAATAATTTATTTTGTCATTATTTATTGAACATTTTAGTTATTTACAGCGCCATCTTGTGTTATAAACCATAACCACGTATTCAAATCTTTGATATTATTTATTGAAGCAAAATATATGTGTGGCGTATATAAATTTGAGTTTGATCTTGAAAATAATGAACATATTTTGTTATTATATAGTCAATATATGTTTTCATTGTTCGACAGATACTACACGATTTATTTCGTGACAAAGAGATGGCTGTATCAAGTTTTCGGCACGATGACCTGGTGGCAGGTCTGCCTGTATCAGCTGTTCATATGGGGTATATCTTACGTGTTCTATATCATGCAATTCCCTATCAATAGACTAATACATGGGAAGGAAGAATCTGACGTCAAAGAAACAGAGATCACACCAAAAGACAATGGGGTACCGTTCTCGAAAACGTGGAGTATGAAGTTCGGAAATACAAAAGCCGATGAAAATTCCAGGCTGTGAATAAAGATAATATAATTACGAATTTAAGAATCTTTTGTCTCATAAAGATGTGATAATGCCAGAAAATAATAAACTTCAATTAAATGTCAAATAAATATTGAAAAAAATGTTAACCAGTCAAAATAATAACAGATAATAATAAAAAATGTATAGTCTTTATAGTAATATTACTTAATGTATTTTAACCTGGGATAAGATGAAAATGGGAGGTTATAGGAATGCTTATTATGTGAGAAATGGAACCGAATCACTTATATTAAAATTTGTATATCATAAGAAAATATTTTTTAATGTTTTTTTATTAAGAGATAATGTATATTATTAATAAGGTATTGCAATAAACATTTATTTAGAGTAATTTTTTGTTCTTATTTACGTTTCATGATTTTTTTAAATATATATACTGTCTAGATAGTTTATTTTTATAAAAGGTTTAAAAGATTAAGAAATAATTCATGTGTAGATTTTGTATGTGTTATAAACAATTGTTTTGATAGTGACAGTTGAAGGAAACTTGAAAGTCATTTTGACATTTCTTCCTTTTTCTTAATTTGACGTACCTTGTTGCTTTTGTGATAAAGAAAAAACTAAGACGTTTTTTGTATATATATAATTTTATTCTTTTTTACAAAATCTTTTATAACTATAATTTATATACCAATAAGTCAGTGCATGGAGATCGAATAAATGTTAGCAGTACATTGTAAAACAACATTTGATACGGTCTCACAAACTCTGGTAACCTTTGAAAAATACATAACTTAACAATATAGGTAACTAGGAATATTTTACACGAAGACTTACATATATGTAGTCTTCAAAATATTCTATTGGTAATGGCTAAATGTTGCGTCCTTCCTATATATTGGCAGTGTTACTCAGATCCACTTACGGGCTTACATTTCATTGGTGTATCAAATAAATATTAAATAATTTCAAAATTATATTACCTAGCGATATATGTATGCTTAAATTTTTAATGGATTGTACGTATCTATATATTTATTATATAAAAAGACCATACAGGTCTTGTATCATAAAACCTTAGTCGTCTCGCGAGTCCTAGGTTTTCAATCTCTCAAAGGTTACCCAAACATTTTAATTTAATATACATCTCCTATTTGTCTATATATTAGCTGACGAGTCTGTCTAACTGAACCGTCGTCGTAAATCACTCTTTGCGGTAAGAAATACGACGCGGGCGTTCTTATTGTGACTCCAGTGATTTGTGGTCGCTTCCTAACTTGATAGGCTCTTATTTCTGATGCGGAATATTGTGGTTCAGATTGAAGATTGTTTCTGTACCTGGAAAAGGAATAATCTCTGTCGTTTGGCACAATGAAGCCACTAGGAGTTCTTACAGGTGAGATCGCCTCGTTTAACCTAATGTCATACTCATTTTCAATCGAGTCAGCTAAATTCTGTTTGATGTCTGGTATTTTCAATGGTTTTCCTGTTGCTGTGTAACCATTTGATATCTCAGGCCTCGGTGCTGGCTTATTGACATTAATATCTCTGTATGGGATGTACGGTTTCAAATAATCTCCCGGCGACAGAGTTGATTCTAGTTTTTCTTTAATGGCTTCGTAGTTTTCATTGAAATTTCTCAATACTTTATTTGCTAGATTTTTTGCTCTATCATTATGTGATTCTATGTATCTTTGAGTAGTTGTTTTTATTGTGGTGGGGGCTGGTGTGGTCGTGGTGGTAGGAACTGCTTTAATTTCTTCAGCTACTGAATGAATGGTTGTGGTCGGATCCTTTTTATCTTTTGCTTCATATTCTATGTCTTCTTCGTCATAATATTCATATTCTTCTTCAGGCACAGCGGTTGATGTGGGTTTTTGTGTTGCAACTGTTGTTGTTATTCGTTCTGTTGTTGTTGTTGGAGCTTCTGTTGTTGTTGTTGTTGTTGTAGTTGTTGGTGGAGGTGTTGTTGGTTTAGGTGTAGTAGTAGTAGTAGTGGTGGTTGTAGTGGTGGTAGTCGTAGTAGAAGAGGTAGAAGTAGGTTTCGGGGTGGTGTTGTGCGGTAGTCTCATATCTTTACCAGCTACTGGTTGTAGCCCTCTTGGGAGATAAGGACTTCCACCCCTAGACGGTAAAAAAGGCCGCCTGAAAACTTTTACATTAGGTTTAATGTCTCTTATCTTGGAAGTTATATCTTCTTCTTCATCTTTAAATTTTTCATTTTCTGTTGTTTTTTCTTTGTCATCATAGAAGTAGTCGGGGTCTTTAGCTTTCGATGGGCGTTCGTCTTTAGCGCGCTGGCTATTAGAATATTTCAGAGGTCGTGCTGAGGACTCATAATAATATTCTTCATCATCATAATCAATTGGTACCTTTGGTTTTTTATATTTCTCTATACTTGCAGATCTGGTTGGTTTAAATTTTTCTCTTTCAACTGGCTCAGGTTTCGGTTTTTGTTGAATAGTGCTTGTTTTTGCCGAGGGTAGAGGCCGCCGGCTATCTTCTTCATCATACTCATCATAAAATTCATCATCAGCCAGTTTTGGTGGAGCCTTTGTAGTTGTTATTGTAACATATTCATACTTTTCCTTTTCATTAATGGGAACGGGTCTTTTAATTTTGGGGGGCATTCTTGGTTTACTGAAAATACCATGCCCGTTGGGTTTTACCAACGGTTGAGAATCAGTAGTTGAAGGAGGCTGTCGAACTTCTACTGGTCTATCTTCATCGTCAATTTGGTCAGGCTTGTTCCTTGGCCTATCTTCCCTGGGCCTATAAGGTCTGTCGTATAATCTTCTACCTTCAGATGTTTGGTATCTGTCATCTCTTACCCTTTCTCTCGGATTACTTTCTACAGCGGGGGCTTCATCTCTAAGTGGTCTGGGTCTTTTTTTATCTCTAGGCCTTATTTCATCTCTTGGACGTATTTCATCACGAGGCCTTATCTCATCTCTTGGTCGTATTTCATCTCGAGGCCTTATCTCATCTCTTGGTCGTATTTCATCTCGAGGCCTTATTTCATCTCTTGGTCGTATTTCATCACGGGGCCTTATCTCATCTCTGGGTCGTATTTCATCACGGGGCCTTATCTCATCTCTGGGTCTTATTTCATCTCTAGAGTCTTCATCATCTCTATTACCGTCTTCATCTTTTGATTTTCCCTCGTCTCTTGATCTCATTTCATCTCTAGAACTCAACTCATCGCGTGGACGTATTTCGTCCCTAGATCTTTCTTCGTCTCGTGGTCTAAATTTATCCCTGGGTCTTAATTCACCTCTTTTACTATCTCTCGGCCTGTCACTTTCTTCATCGTCGTAGCCATATGAGTCTTCATCACCTCTTGGTTTTCCTGGCCTTCTACCACCTTTATATGGTCGTCTGTCTTCATCGTCGTATGGTCTTCTGTAATCCGGTCTTTTACCAGCTCTCGGTCTTTCATATGGTCTTCTATCTTCGTAGTCCTCATCAACTTCATCTCTTGGTCTCGATCTCGTCTCGTATCTGTAACATTTCAAACAAATGATGAATAATCGAAGTGAGAAAGTTTTATTGCCGTGTGAAAAATTTTATGGTTACCTATCATCGTAGTCAACTTGAGGTCTGCGCTTGCCTGGTCTACGAGGTCTGTGCCTTCTTCCACCCCTGAAAGAAAAAAATATTACGTATAAGATAATTGTTGAGAAAAGAAAAATATTAAAATATTATTTGGACTTTTGTCACATCACATAATTTATATACTGTGGTTGTGATGAGGTTTTAAAAATAATAATACTACAATTAATTACAGTGACTTTTTAACTTTTACTTATATTGAGGTTAAACGTTTTATGTTCATGGACATTAATCGAATTTCACATCAAATTATAGTAGGTACTCATATTATTTTTTAAGTATTTTGATTTTAATAAATAAATATATAATTTTTCTCGTTTTTGGTAATAAAATGATTGACATTAACTTTATAAAAATAAGCCCATGTTAGCGCTATAAAATGAGATCACTATTTTTGAGTTATTGAGTGGAAACTTAAAAGAAAAACATTACTAGTAGTATATATATAGTTATGTAGTGTACCTCTCTTCGTAATCGTAGTCATCTCTAGCGGGATAGTAATAATCATCATCATAATAATCGTATCTGGGATGTGGTCGGCGTCTTCCTGGCCGCTGTGGTCGCGGCGTGGTGGTGGTTGTGGTAGTTGTGGTAGATGTGGTAGACGGAGGGTCAGTGGACGCTGCCTTGTATAGAGCTTCGTTCCTATCAACATATAATGATATCAAATAAACCAATTTAAATTGAGCTGGGATAAAATGAAACAAGTGTATTTGTTTAAATGAAACTTATATTTTTCGGATAATGCTACGCGACTTTATTTTTGATAAAAACTACATAATCCCGACGTTTCGGCTACTTTTCAGCAACCGTGATCATGGACAGACGAGATATGAATGAAAAATATTAGTTTCTTTTAAATGAAAAGAACTCGCAAAATTCTTAGATCTCATTTGGTATATTTGTCACTACATAGGTATATTTGTAAAAAAAAGTAAAGGAAATAAATTACTAGTTTCATATTCGTTTCAATTTACCTGCTAAAATATTTTGCTGAATTTTTACAATCCACTTCAGATACGAAGTGACAGATGAAGGTTTTTTGATCGAAGGCCGTGTAGTTCGCGCAGAGGAAGTCGTATCTGGTACCGAAGAGGCAGTGGTGGTAGACCTGAAAGGATTTGGAATATATTATAATAAATTTTGACTAAGTTTTAGATACTATTAATTTATCTATATGTCAACTTTATCCATACTTATTGATTATATATTATTGAGATTTTTTTCTTATATACCTTTGAGAAGTACTAAACATTCTTTGGGTGACAATAGCGTTGAGAAGATTTTATAATTTCTAATGATTTTGATAGCATTCTATAACTATTTATTATCTATTGATATAATTATTTATTATATGTAGACCTTTTGACAGAAAAACTTCTTGATAATCTGAGAGTTACAAGGAAAAATTAAACCAATTTTTGTCATTAATTATTGAAAATATATGGCATTGTCCTTAACTAAATATGTGGCATAAGAAATTAAAAATTAAGTATTTTTAATAGACATATTGTTGCCAAAGAAGTTGTACTTATTAAATAATCTGCAGCTTTGCCCGCGTGGAGTTCGGTTATATCGCGTTTCCAAGAGAACCTTTCAGTCTGAGATAAAAACTACTCCTATATTCTCTCTCAAGGTCAACTCTATCTCTGTATCAAATTTTATTAAAATCAGTTCAGTGGTTTAGGCGTGAAAGCGTAACAGACAGACAGAGTTACTTTCGCATTTATAATTTATAGTACATATATTTACCTGACACTTATGGGGTATAGAGGCGTAGAAACCGTCGTGGAGTCCATCGCATTTGAAATCCATGGTTTCTGGAGGAGGAACTGCTTCGTAGAATGGATACTGGGATAAATTGTACCCATTCAGCTCTCGTGGTAAATTGGGATCATGTATGTAATCTATTTGGGGAATCCCCGTATATTTACTAGTCGCGTTCCCTTCTTCCCCTTCCGCAGTCGGTTCAACCTGAAAAACATGATTCTGATAAGAACTGTTCAGGTAAAAAAATATAACATACTAAAACAGTGACTAAATAGTTTTATAATTTTTAACTAGATGGCGTTGTTTTAAATTATTTATCTTTTGGATCTTATTGACTACATCATGGATTTGCCCATACTAAAATCAATTTCTAATTCTGAAGAAATTTTCACCTGAGTTTCTATATTAATTACTGTATATATAAACTATACACGTTACCAAACTTCACAATATGTGAAAAATATCACTTGTATGAAAACCTTGGAGTTAGCAAAAATTATAACGGACATACACCCAATTTTATTCGACCACATTCTGTAAGACTAAAACAACTTTTATTCACGTTGAACTTATAACACAGTAATTAACTGGTAATAAATACGTGAGGTAAATAAAAACGACGCGTGAAGGCAAAAGAAAAGACCGGAAAGCCTTAATGGGAAACTGTATTATTGATCGCTTAAATAGACATAAAGGTTGGTCGGCCCTATTTCCTTTTTAAATTCCACGTTCACCCACTTTATTTATTCGATATTTATACTTTTATTCCGTATATTTATCTTTTAATCATTATATATTCTTGTTTATATATTGTTAATACATATATGAGTATATGGTATTAAATTTAATAGTATAAACTTATCTTTACAGTGGAAATCTTCATGGAATTATTTTAGTTAATTTAGTAACAACGATTTAAAAGTAAACTATAAAAATTTGTCCTATGGTTTATTTATATAAAAAGTAGTAGAATCAGTTAACCGGTTATGTAAAGTTAACTAAGTCTTCCGGCATTATAAGTTATAGAGAATAACCCTGCAATAATACTTCTATATTCTACTCGCCAATCTCATGAGAGGCGAAATGTATCCCGTTTGAACGAGTTTATAAACAAGTGGTCCTTGACTGCAAAAAGCCACACATACAATGTATAACTAATATCATCAGCCTATCTGAGCCCACTGCTGAGCTGCCTCTTTCTCACATGGAGAAGGTTTGAAGATTAATCACCACGCTTGCTCAAGACGGGTTGGTGATTTCAAACTTATAATTGTGAAACTATAAGTCCAGGTTTCCTCACGATGTTTTCCTTCATCGTATGTCAGTGATGTCTAAATACTCTCAGAAAGTACACGACTCCGAAACGTCACATTGGTTCTAGCCAGGTTTGAACCCGTGTCATCGGCAACGAGAGGCGGGCCCTTTAACCACTAGGCCACCACTGACTTTTTACAATGTATAACTCGCTTCCCATAAAAGATAATATTCTTTCTGTACCTGTGCTTCATCATCAGGAGCTGAAGGTTCTTCTTCTGGCCCAGCTGTACTGGTTGATGTTGTCGTCTTGGAGAAGATGAGTGACGTCGCACGAACCGCTGTTGTTGTTGGCAAGTCCGTAAGCGCTGCCAAAGTTACGCCTGAAAAGATATATTGCGATCATTCTTGCCCATATTTTGATCATTATTCTTTTGTCTACTTTTTTGTGTTCTTCAATGCGTATAATGGCGCAAAACAAACTAACGTAGACCACTTAATTATATGAGCTTCTTATATATTTGTAAAAAACTTGAACCAAATTTGTATATAATACTCAAAATTATAACAGAATTATCACCAAATTTTTTTGCAATTACATTCTTGGTCAGAAAAGTGGCAACCCAAAAACAATTTCAATAAAAATCAATACTTTTTGTGGATCGTAAACAAATTATTGGTTCACTCATTAAAAGTCCATTGGCAGAGGATAACAAAACAAGGTTCTTATTTATATTTAATCCAAGTTTTTTTGGCTTCTCAGAATCATACTTATGTAAATCCTTTCCTTATACTTTTGGAAATAACCCGATTTTTGTATTTCAAATGGTCAAGGTCATTCACATTTAATTTGATTTTGTGAATCATTGAATAAAATCAAATTTATTTTATTATATTGAACATATGTTATATGGTAGCATAATTTTTGTCTAATTTTTGTCTCTTCCTTAAAGAGATGAACTAGTTGTTGAATTGGCCCATATATTAAAAATATCATAACTTCTAGAATATGAAATATATATATGTATATGACAAGTAGAATTACTTTGTTCATTTCTTTGTGCATTAATATACAATTTGTAAATATATAGAAATTTTAATTATGAAATATATAATGAAATATTTATTGACACAAGTGAGATTCGAACCTACAACCTAGTGGATAATTTTCTTCAATTGCTTAATTCTTAAGTAGATTTTTGGTAATATTACTTAGGTTTTTGTAAAATTTGGAAAAGCATTGCTTTGTTCAGTGACCAGAGAAAGGTTTGGAAACCTCAATTGATAGCTTTGAGAGCTAAAATTATTCCATAGAACCTATATATATTCTTTGTTCCTTACTTATTTATTCAGATGATGTCAGAATATATTCTATTTAAAACACACTAAAATACATAAAATTTAAGGGGAGGTCACACAAATGAGGCGATTTTATAACGAATGCAAATAAAGATCATTTTGAAATGTCAATGAATATATTTATTTCAAGGTTGTTAAGTCTGTATGTTTATTTATTTCTAAATTTTTTTCGTATATATATGTCAAAGTTAACGGGTGTTCAATCGTCATAATAAAATCAAAACTTTATAACACCGAAATAGTTTTTAACATTCAATACTTATACTAAAGATATTCTTTTGAGAAATTCAGTATTTCATCCCTACTAATATTATAAATGCGAAAGTAACTCTGTCTGTCTGTCTGTTACGCTTTCACGCCTAAACCACTGAACTGATTTTAATAAAATTTGGTACAGAAATAGATTTGACCTTGAGAAAGAACATAAAATAGTTTTTATCCCAGACTTTTGAAAGGTTCTCTTGGAAACGCGATATAACCGAACTCCACGCGAGCGAAGCTGCGGGCGGAAAGCTAGTTAATATATAATTTTAATATTAACTAAATCTACGAATTTATTAAATTTTACGCATCAAAGATTTGAAATATAGTGGATATAACATCGGCGTCATTAAGATTACAATAATTTATGTATATGGGTATCAAAACGAAAAAAAAACCTCCCCTTAAAATCCGGTACCTTTTTGAGTTTCAATATTACACGAATTATTTGCATGCTAAACCTAAAGAGATTACTTTTGTTTCCAATTAACTTTTAAGTTAATTTTGTGTCAGGCATTATGGCAATTAACAATTAGATTTCAATACTATAGAAGTTAAAGTATTCTCAGTTTTTTGTAGTTTATTTCGTCAGCTAGTCTTCCAATAGCCAGGAAGTTGGAGATTTAACACTCAGTTTTTTCCTATTCTTGTAATATGTGTATAATGAAATTGGTCTAAGTACGGTAACCAAGAATTCGTGGCTTTACAAATATACAGGGTGACTGGTGAATTACTATCGATATTTGAGGACGTGGTAGTTGACGATCATATATGACAAAATAAAAATTAATATAACATAAATATTAATAAACTTCTAAGTAAAGTTAACCAAAAGTTATGTAATTAATTACGCATCGTGTGAACACCCTACAGATTAGGTATACACACACACTCACACATACGCAGCGGGGGCGTGGTTTTGTATCAGCACGCCGCCGTACGCGTCCACACTAGGAACACTTGGAACGTGTCAACACTTTTTTTATTTATACGGAAATTTTGTCAAAAATTAAGTACCTATTTTTTTTTACATAATTCGAATGAGAATCATGTACCGAGTATGCTCCTTAAATATTGATAGTAATTCACCAGTCACCCTGTATATACATATATTGATAAAACTATATGTATCAATTCTCTTTTAACCAATGATACAAAAAGATGAGTTACAAGTTTTGCAACTATGTCAATTGTTTGTGTGTTTGTGTAGCTTTGTAGTTCACAAACGAATCTATCGATTTTGATGTGGTTTTTGTATTCGATGAGAAAGTTTCTTTGTTGTTCTTACATAAATTTCTGTCTAGCAGTTTTCTTACAATCATTCCAATTCTTTTCCAAATATTGTTAGATATTTTTCGGCTATGATTATTCGACTGTCTTATGCGTGCGAGTTTTATCTTAAACGACACTCCATACATATATTGTTTTAATAATTAAAACTCAACAAATATGAAAAGGTGAGCAAAATATACATAAATTGTATATTACCATATAAAACTTATAATTAATAATAAATAATAAACTTCCAACTTACAAAATAGCACGAACCCCAGCCATCTATGGCGAGAGCGCTTCATTTTGTTTCACCTGGAAATAAAGAAAAAATACATTATTTACTATATAATTTTTTTTTATTGACAATACATTAAGTCAGTGGTGGCTCAGTGGTTAAAGGGCCCGCCTCTCGTCGCCGAGGACGCGGGTTCGATCCTGGCCCGGGCAAGTACCAATGTGATTTTTCCGAATCATATGTACTTTCTAAGAGTATTTAGACATCACTGATTAATATTGATTCCCAAAAAGAGGGTTGATGTCAGGCAGGCGGCCGGCCGTAAAAACAAATAGCCAAAAAAACTATTCACAACATGTAAGGCAGACCCTGGCTATAGCTGGGAAATTGCCAGGTAGAAGAAGAATACATATAACGTTCAGTTTATATACTAAGTTTTCTAAATGAAGTTTAAATGGATATATATGTACAGGAGACGAATAGAATACCTACTATCTAAACCTTATCTATATTCTCATTAACATTCTTTTTCTCAGTTTATATAATAGACAAAGTTTCATCAAAATCGTTTCACTTATTACGTACGTCATTCCCCACAGTTGATTTAATATTAAACGCGTAAACCCTGGCAGCCACATATGTATATTATTTCCGTTCCTTAATAGTTTTTTACATCTGATTGGTGTGAATTCTATTGTCTTATACACAATAGTTAATCATTGAATAATTCTGTATACTTCATTGTCGGTTTAATTCTCGTAATGTTTTTTGATATATTTTATTCTACGTGAAAATAAAACTAAGAACTTTTGTAATAAAAAATGTTTAATTATCGTATGTAATAAAATTTATAATTTGTTTAGGAATGACTTTATATAAAGATAGCATTACATTGCTCGTAATGTGAGAGCCGTAGTCATTCGTTTCCTACTTAATAGGCAATGTACACATACATAGCAAACAAACACGAGTTTATAACTCATAATAGTTAAAATCTTTCATGATTCTCCCTTCAAATTCCATTGGATTTATCAGAATCGAAGGTAACACAAAAACCTTTCACGATTTAAAGAGGATCTTCAGTACGTGATGAGAACTATACTTAAAACAGTTATTATATAAAACAATTTATTACAGCAGAAGACATTTAGATTATAGTAATTAATTTAATGTTTTAAATTATTACAAAATGGCGTCGGAACTTAAATTGTCTATTTAGTCGACAAAGTTAGCTATAAAGGGTACAAGGTTTTTGCTGTTGCATTACTAAAGCTGTTACGAAGTGAAAGAAAAAGTAGATTTATTATATATATCCAGTTACTGCAAGCTCATGTCTTAATATATTTATAAAAACAAATTCTTATAAACACATGGACTTAAATTTTTATGACAGCGCCATATATTCTGCATTTTATCTATGACTAGAAGACCTGGCGAACTTTGTATGGGAAATAGAAAAGGGCTGTTTTTATGGTTTTCCCAGTAATGAATCAATTTTTTTCAGCTTTTATACCTTCCATGAACCTCCACGAACATTTCAAGACTAATATAAATCCGTTCAGCTGTTCTCGAGTTTTAGCGAGACTAAGGAACAGCAATCCATTTTTATATATATAGAGGATATAACAAAAAGATTGTTACATGTTTTCAATTCTTAAAGTACTATAAGAACAAAATTATATATATTTTTTCAATTACTTACAAATTAATTAGACATAGTCTAGGTATAGATTTTAATATTAACAACTACACTAGAATTGAATAACTGAACCTACGATACAAGTTTTTTCTCAATCAAATTTATTATTAATGTATGCATATCTATATTTCTATAATCCCACGGGTTTGTCTGCGAAACTACACAAAAACTAGTATAGATATAGATTAATGCAATATCTATACGCAATATAGCAAGGAAATGTGCGCCCATTTACATGTACGAGTACAACGTGGGTCGCTCACCTTGCGTCGCCCTTGTAAAAGAACTTTTACTATTCTTAAGACTTTGTCAGTTTGACTATATATGGACAAAGAATGCAAAGACACTTAATAATTTTTGATTCTCATGTATTGTATATTAATTATGTATATATTGGGATAGTGTTACATATTTATTTTTACCGTAATGAGGTAATTTATGTTAATAAGATATTAGATTGTATGTAGTATGTAGTGTGTTGTTGTTAATTGACATTCCGATGGAGAGAATGTTTAATCGATTGAAATTATAGCAACCTTATAATGTAGACAGAGGAAATTGTAGATCAATATATACATATTATATATGTACTGTTGTTTATCTTGTACAAACTATATATTATATATGCTTATAATGTCGTCTTTTACCTTGCAATTTTCCAGCTTTAGCCAGGGTCTGACTTACATTTTGTGATTAGTTTTGGCTGTTTGTTTTTACGACCGTCCGCCTGCCTGACATCAACCCTCTTTGGGAATGCATTAATCAATGATGTCTAAATACTCTTAGAAAGTACATATGACTCAGAAATATCACATTGGTACTTGCCAGGGCCAGGATCGAACCCGCGCCCTCATGTATAACAGGCGGGCCTTTTAACCACTAGGCCACGACTGACAATAATATGCTTATAATGTCTATAATTTGCTGTCCAAAATTTTAGTAGGCTTCAATGTGAAAGAAACATCCTTTTAATCTTAATTATTATTTTCTAAGTTGATAACTACATAAATAAAAATGTAGGTATATTGACAAAGCGCAAATATTAATTTGTCAAAAGCCAATTCGTCCCTCTGTAGGTAATTTTTTTACAATTCACATTGTAAGTTCACTCACATATATATACTCTTGTAGCATAATAATATTGTTTAATATACATATATCTATATAATTATAACAGAATCTTAAAGATTTCATTGTCTGTGCATGTAAATTTAGTAGATTCTTTGCACATAGCTTGTATTCGTGCTGGAACCTGCATATATTATACTGCCAATGTCACGAAGGAGTTAGGTTTTAATGAATCTCAATTTATTTTTCCCAATTAATTGTGACAAACATTCTATGACATTGATTAATGTATGTATTTTACGTGTTTTCATTATATTACGTAATAATTTGGTACATTACGTAAAACTGTTTTGAATGCGGACCGAATTAAAACACGGATGACACTGTTTCCATAGTACGTTTTACTAAATGTAATTGCCAAATATTTGTGTATTCAGAGCCTAAAAACGGTATATAAATTGTAAAATTTTTGTTTTTTGAATTGTATATTATTTTTCTTTTATCATAAATGGAATTTATATATTTGTAATAAGATCTACTTTTGACTAAAAATCTCTTTATTCGTTATGGTTGGTTTTTCAATACATTTTTTTTATATTATATATACAAAATCAAGAAATATATTTCAATATCTTAATATTAGTTTATATTATACATCAATAGAAACAGTTTAATTGTTTTTTTTTCATTCATAAATACTTTTATATTTATGACTAACGATCTGTCAATGTCAACTGTCAATATGTCAATTGTGAAGTTCGTTAAGTGTAGAAAAAATGATAATTTCCTGATTCTCTTAAGTATAAGGTCCTAATTTTTAGTTACTGTGTAAAATACTATAAAATAAAGGAATGTATAATGACTAATTAATTTAGTGTATTTTAAATTATAGTTTTCTTTCGTATTAACTTTATTCGCCAATTAATAATAATTAATCTTATGATCATGTCATACTTATTCTGTTTAAGATCTAGCCGCCATCTTAATAATTACCGCTTGACATATTTATTTCATCAATAAAATACCTACAATTAAGTATATAGTATTTATATTATAATATATTTTGTAACTTTATATGAAAGATATATTTTGGTAAATTTCAAATTTATTTTGTTAAGATTTCTATATTTTGAAAGAAACCTCGCTTTTTTCCAATATATTATTATAATTTGATAGCCAGATATAAAAATATATACCCTCAAACATTAAAATATTAAGTAGGTTTTGACATGTAGGTTTTTTTAATAAATCTTCTTGAAGTTTATACAATAATTGATTCGATTGGAGTATTTCTTTACCGTTAAAAAATAAAAATTGTTTTTGGACAATATTTCTGTATTTTGTATAATTAAAGTGAGGTTTTGGAGTTATGTTCGATGTTTCTAACAATGTTAGTGACATACAGACACATATATACATACATAAAACAGTTAACGCTTAGATGAGCCTATAATCATACCAGTTGTCATTGTAAATAAGTCTAAACAATTTTAGTATTATTTTTGCTTTTACTCTAAAACCTACAGTTTAAAGTTCCAAAAACAGTTATTTTATTGGAACGAAAATTCACACAAAAAATTCGATATTTCAATAGAGATTATAAAATATTATATACAGAATAGAATGACCTTTAACAATTAAATGTTGAAGGTCATTTGATAATGGTCAATTTTTAAATTGTAATCGGTATCAATACGTATTTTAAACAATTTATACAAAATATATAATAATAAATCAATTTAAATTGATACATAAATATATTTTTTCTATTTATTATCAATTATAACTGTTCGTGTTTTGTTAACGACAAAAAAATATGACGTATGATAATGGATACTCCGCGATGCGCTCTAGTGGGCACTTTCACTGACTGATTTATATCGGGACGTACATACATACATAATCCTTGTATAGATAGAAAGTATATAAGATTTTTACTATATATATACTAGGAATGTAGATGAAATGATACTAGGTAAATACTAGGAACATAGATGAATGGCACTAGGTAGGTACTAAGAACATAGATGAAATTATACTAGATAGATACTAGGAACATAGATGACATGGCACTATGTAGATACTAGGAATGTAGATGAAATTATATTAGGTAGATACTAGGAATAAAGATGAAATGATACTATGTAGATACTAGGAATGTAGATGAAATTATATTAGGTAGATACTAGGAATATAGATGAAATGTTGGAACTAGTATTAGTCGGATTACTACGCGTATTTAATTATTTTAAACTACATACTCCCGACGTTACTTATCAGCAATTGAGATCATTAAGATA